AGACGTAACATATGGTAACATCTGTTTAATACTATATATGTATTCTAGTTTTAGTTTATAAGTTGTGTTTTGTGTGTGTGTGTTAACACAAGTATAATCTCTGGAAATATAATTTGATGCAATTGTTTAGGAACTTATATCTTTATTTTACATTGAGGTGAAAGTGACAATAAAGGTCCCAGACTTAGAAGAGGAAAAATACATCAGAACTTTACACCAAGGGGATTTTTTTGGAGAGAAAGCCCTGCAGGGGTAAGTTGTTTATGATAATTTTGTTTGTGTTCATTCACTCACCTCTAATAAATAACTTTTTGGATCATAAAGAGGTATGTGTCACTTTGTGGCTCCTTTTTCCTGCCATAATTGACCAGCTATCAATTTTAATTGCATGATGTCATATTTCAACCAGTAAAGGATATTCCAGTTTTAACTAGTTCAATCCATGCTCAAGGTACAGAACTACAATATCTTTGCAGTCATAAGACATCATATGACAAAAGAATATATTGCAGAAGTGACTAGAACAAGATAACGTTAGACATCCTGAACCATGTGTTGCTGTCATAACAATGCAGAAACTAAATAACTGAATAATTTGGAATAATTCTTTGTTATTATCTCTCTCTCTCAGTCCTGTCCTTAAGCCAACAATTAAAATTAACTTTAAATCCACTTAATTTTAAACTTACAATGTGATCCAGAAATATGTTACCTTTACTTTATTCCTAAAATACACATACATAAAAAACATTTAATAATTATTCATTCTTAATTACAACAGGACAAAACCCTTTAACTACAACTTAAAGCCCCCAGTGGCACAGCAATAAGTCTGGAGACCTATAAAATTGAAAACCAGGTTTTGATATTTGTGATAGGCTTTGTGTAGGGGCAGCACATATAAGAAGCTTGGAGGAGTATAGCCTCCCTAAGTAAACCATTCCTCACGGGGCATTACTCTCATCAATGCAAAAATATTATACAGTACATGTGGAGAGAGAGACAGAAAGATTGAAAAAGGGTGGATGTGAGTTACTGAGGAGAGTTTTTTATTTAGGTGCACAAACTGATTCTTCTAATTCTGCAACCTCCCACACATGACAGAATAGCCTACCCAAACAAATATCTCACTCTTTTAAAAATCCAGAAAACAAGTAAAATGAGGTAAAAATAATATCCAATAAAACAATGTTTTAAAGACTCAGTCACTGCCTATGACTTTGTATTTAATAACAAATAAACAAACAATTAATACTACTTCAAATAAATGTAAAAATACATATTGTAAGAAACTGAGAAAATTAAAATGAAAACCCTTGAAAACACGATTTAAATCACAGTACATAATCCAATGATATTTTCAAACAATGAAAGAATCCATCAAAAAGTAATGAAATATTACAATTACAAAAACAAATTCCTTGAAAAAAAAGAACAAGCAACTGCAGGTACACACAAAGACAAAATACCTTTTAACAAAGAATTAGCACGTACATAAAAAACAAAAACTTGCATACCACATGAACATCTGGATTAGTTTGCTTTCTATAATTTGGCAAGTATTATTTTCTTGATATAACCAATTAAGAAATGAAATTGCATGAAAAAAATATTTTATTGTTAGATTTTTTTTGTGGACACTTTCAATCTGTTTCATTAATTTATATAATTATCCCAAGAATAATATTTTTTGTAAAGTGACGTAAAAAACTTCAATATCACTGTCTTAATTATAAATAAACAAATATATCTTGGTTATGCTAGTCCTACTTCCATAAATAACTGATAAATTTAAATACTGATGATGCTACTTTAAAATAATCCATGTACATAACTGTAGCCATGTTGTGATATTAGTTTAATATATTATTTTTATTATATTCATATATCTTACGTTTTGTTTATTTTTTATGCATGACCAGATGCATATTTCATCTATAAAAGACAGATAACAGAAAATAAAATGTTTTTATTTTACATAGATAGAGATTTGTGTGTATAAATTGTTGTTATTAATTCATAGGGAAGATGTTCGGACAGCTAATATCATTGCTAGTGATCCTGATGGTGTAACATGTCTTATCATAGATCGAGAGTAAGTATATTTGTAGAGGAAAAATTTGTTGGAAATGATCTTATTTTCAGGTAATGTTTCCTCATAGACTATTTTAGAACAAATACATATTGCTGTGTAATTCTTCTAAGTGTATATGGCTTCATAAAATTATGTGCATGTTGTTCAAAGTAATTTGAAGAAAACGTATTTTTCAAGAACATTTTTGCAATAATTCATTTTCAGTACTTTAAAACATGTTAAGAAGATTTTAATTTATTGACTTCTGGGATTTTTATGTACCTTTTATATTTTCTCTGAATAGTATAAGTTGTTTCTGCTATATGAAATCTAATAAAAACAGTTGCTATACATATCAACATTTAACATTAGGTATGTTTGTTTCTTATCTGAAATTAACATTGTTTCTCTTGTTTTCAGGCCGTTCATTCAACTTATTAGTAACATTGATGAAATTAAACGAAAATGTTATGATGAGGAGGAGGTAACTGAAAGAAAAAAGTAAGATATTGTTCTCACAGTGCTATATGTAGTTAATTAATTCTTATTTAGCTAAGATGTATCTTAAAGAATTAAACAATATATAGTTGTAAATACTAAGTTTCCAGTGCAAAACTTATAACATTAATCTTGTTTGATATTTGATGATTTTTTCCCACCTAATAAAATGCATCAAGTTTGTTTAAAAGATCATTTATTTGTAGATATTATATTACATATTTTATAAGAACTGTATAATCTCATTTTCTAAATTTCTAGGTGTCTTTTGGCTGACATTTGTTTTTATAAGAAAAAAACTGTAAAATCATAAAAGTATTTAGTTAAAAGTACCATTTGGCTGTACTTTTATCAACTAAGCAATTATATATATATGTAATGCTGCCAGATTTCATTTTATCATAAAATAATGGATTCTAGCTTCAGATGGTATCCAAAATATTTATAAATAATTTTTTGTAATAATGTAGAGATGTTTTGTTTTGTCTGTATCTATTTTTCTTTGAGTTTAAGTTTGTTCAATATAATTTTTTCATAGCATGTTGTGAAATTTATTTGAAAAATGCAGTAATGTGCTGTGTCTCTTTTTTAATATTTTTTGCAATATAAAATGAAAAATGATCATCATTAGTCATGGTTTTGTCTTGTAATTATAAGAATATATATTTATAAGTAAGGGGAAAAAATGCATAAAAGCTAATACACAGAATACGTAAATAAAATACTAATCATATTTATACAAATTAGTTTGGGATGACAATTTTATAAGAAATACAATCATCTAAAAAAATTAAGGTTTTGTGTCATTCGTCCACTTGAAATCAGGAGATCCCCTAAGGCAAAATTTTGTTTATCCTTCATACAAATAATTACTATCCTTAAAGATAAATATCAAGTTTCCAAAATTGAGCATAATGTTACATTGAAAGTGTGAATCTTGTCATTTATAAATTTATAAAATGATGTTTTAAGCATTCCAGAGCATGTATTTCACATAAGCAAAGGTGCCAGGAAAGATGGAGCAAGTTAAACCAATCAACATTTAAAGAACAGTTTGGTTTCTTTTTTAGAAAACATGTAAAATTAGCTGTCATATCAGAGTAAATAATGGGGGCTACAAATGTTTGGCTCCTGTGGAATTTTTGTGCCCAAATTGACTTTATTGCATAAAGCTGTTAAATGAGTCATGTTCAGTCACCAAAAATTAGGTGCCAAATGTTTTACCCTTTTTTTTTAATGCATCTTAGAATAGTGAGGATTTAGGTAGTGATCATATATATATATATATATATGCATTTATTTGTCTTCATGTGGCCAATACAGGATTTCTGAAAAGCCTGAAACCATAGGTGATTTGCATCGTTTCTTAATTTTAAACATGTGACTGATTATGGTGCTGTTAAAGCATGAGAAGGTTAGATAAATCCTGTTGTTAATCCAAACTTGTTTTTAATTACAAGGACAGTATATGGAATAGATTTTTTAAAATTGTTAAAGTGCCTATGGTTCCAGACATCCTGTATTTGCTTTTTATCTCTGAAAATAATGATAATAAAGCATGATATTTGCATTTAGATTTATATTATTTAATTTATAGTTATGATTAAAAAATCAGAATTATACAAACATATAAGAAAAAATGCTTATAATTGTTTTCATTCGACTGATATTGTTTGTAGTTAAAACCTCAACCTGAATTAATAAAGATCAACTTAAAATACCAGAATATATATATGTTGGTTAAATTATTATACAAGCATCCTGATAGGAACAAACTGAAATGTCTCATCTGGTGATAATTTTAGGTCAAAGTGTGATGACTTTTTTAGGTCAAGGTGAGTTAGATTTAACTAGCAGCAGCTGCTACAGTTCAATACACTATAATTTTGTCAATTTCAACATGTGCTCTTTAACATAGTTAATATAAGTATTTCACTTTATTATGCTCTTATATTCCATAACAATTTGTATAAAACTGTTGCTAACTTTATAAAACAATATGAACAATTTGTCCATATGAGAGAAAAAAACATCTTTTCAGAAGCTATAAAACTGTTGTTAGCAATTTCTTGAAAACAAAAAGTCAGTATAGTGTTGAAACCTATGCTAAATAATCACTACCTATATCTGTAGGTGGTGTCCTTTGCAGTGATGACAATTACTACATCTGCTAGAAAGAGAAGTTGGTATGGTGTAAAAAAATGGACACACTAATTCTGTGACATTATAGTTTGAATTGAGTTATGGCACACAAGTGTTAAATCATCAGCAGTGTGTATAGTGTGTTCAAAACTATGCAAAAGTGACTTAAACGAAAATTTTGAAATTGAACATTTGAAGAAATTGCTAAACTATGCATCCAAAAGAACTTCATCATTTGAATTTAGGGACAAATCCATCTGGCGAAAGGTTAAGTACATTTACATAGGAGGATAGATATACAAGAAAGGTACCTTGTTTTAACTTCCAATGTTTGCAGAGAGCTTATAGTGCATATTCTTTTTCAGGGGCAGAATGGGGAGGGAAATTTATTAGATTTCTAAGAAAAGATGGCTCTCCTGCTACCTCAGTTTACAGATGAAGATAGTGATTTGATTATGGCTTTCCAAAGTGTTGGTGAGGAATAAGTCAACATTGCAAGTATTATTCTTAATCTTGAAACTTTCACATGTACATCTTATGCCAAATCAAGTCATCAGAGGAAACTGAATGATTTAAGATGGGAACTCTTTAAAACAAAAAACTTAAAAACAGAGATGCTGCCACCAACATTTGCAGCCCTCAAACCACATGTTCAAAGATCAAACCTTGCTTGTAGCAACTTAAGGCAAAGGCTACAAGAAACCAAACCTCACAGTTCTTCCCTTTAAGCAGAGAATGGCAGATTAGTCCCAGTGCTTTGCCACAAGTCACTAACACCTGTTTCTGAGCTAGTCAAATGTGGTTGTTCTGGGAAGTGTATCCAAACATCAAAATTCTTCTGTTGCACTTCTTTGTGTAAAGGCAATGACTGCAGCAACACACATGACTATTTTACTTTATCTTTAAATGACCAGGACTTAGGAATTTATTCTGTTGGCTACTGAAATATTTCTTTGTACACACTTAACTATTTTCTGCTGTACTTTACTTATGCAAATATTTTATTCATTCCCATTTATACTTTAATAGCAACATAAAATTTAATATGTGTTGTTGCGTCAGCGGAGTTTACGTGATTAGTATCATGCCACGTCCTTCTCGAACATTCACGTCCCTTCCTTAAATCTCAAGATCCTTCTAGATATAGTGTAGTCTTGTATATATAAGACGGTCACAAAGTGACGGCAACAATGTGTGTGATTGAACTGAGTATTGTTAAGTCGAGAACGTGAGACGTTCGTTGAGAATTATAGCGTTTGTTATAGAGCGACTGTTGAAATTAAGTGTATCGCAAAGTTGTATTCAGAAAGAATAAACCAGTTTTATTTAAGAAAGGACTTGTATAGTTGAAATTCTTCGGGAAGAATTTTTACGGAAAATTAACTAACGAACGGAGATGTAACAAATTGCTGTCAGAGAGTGGGACAAAAAACTGGAATCGGGAGGCGGAAAATCAAACTACAGCTTAGCAGACTTGATGGCAAATACAAGTGATGCAAGCACACCCCTCTACCATGCAGGATGCAATTGCCATAACTCTTGAATTTGAATCCTACATTAAATCCAGCACAGAAGTACCAAGGTTGGTACAGTCAACAGGATTCGAGGCCAGAAAAGGTCAGCTTTCAGAGAAGTTTGAGGGACTTTGCTGGCACTGTAATAAACCTGGGCACAAGAGAGTTCAATGCTGGAAACTTCATCACAGGGGAGGTGCCACAGCAGGAAAGGCTGGTATCCAGAAAAGTTGTTGGAACTGTGGAAAGCATGGACATTTGAGGAGCCAGTGTAGGAGGAATATTACTAAAAGTCGGCCTCAAGGATACCAGTAGTGGTTGGTGTTGACTGACGCCCATCATTCCCCATCTTGAAAGTCCCAACAGCTAGGTATAAAATGCCAAGCACACACA